TGTTGACCAGGATGGTCTCGATCTCTTGACCTCGTGATCCACCCGCCTCGGCCTCCCAAAGTGCTGGGATTACAGGCTTGAGCCACCGCGCCCGGCCCCTCTTTCAAAGTTTTATACTTAAACTCACACATTTACTTACTGTAATGAAAACTTCTATAGGTCTTTCCTCAGTAAAAAATGCTACCAGTGTAATTCAAACAACACTTGGAAAAAGAAAATCTCAGCAATTTTGACTAAAGAGCTGAATACTAAGTAGAGGGAAAACAAACCATAGTTGCCACTCATCCACTCTGTATCAACATCCTACAGGATATTTTTATTTTGGCCTTATGTCATAATGATTTTTTTTTTAAGGAGACAGTGTCTCGCTCTGTTACCTATACTGGTGTGCAATGGCATGATCATAACTCACTGCAGCCCCAAACTTGTGGGCTCAAGCAATCCTCCTGCCCGAGTCTTCTGAGTAGCTAGGATTATAGACACACACCACCACGCCCAACTAATTAATTTTTTTGTAGAGATGGTGTCTCACTATGTTGCCCAGGTTGATCCCAAACTCCTAGCCTCAAGCAATTTCTGGCCTTGGTCTCCCAAAGTGCTAGGATTATGGGCATGAGCCACCACATCCAGCCTCATAATGACTTTTTTTTTTTTTTTTAAAAGAACAAGTGGGCTAGGCACGGTGCCTCATGCCTGTAACCCAGCACTTTGGGAGTCTGAGACAGGTGGATCCACTGAGTTCAGGAGTTCAAGACCAGCCTGGCCAACATGATGAAACCCCGTCTCTACTAAAAGGACAAAAATTAACTGGGCATGGTGACGGGTGCCTGTAATCCCAGCTACTCGGGACGCTGAAGCAGGAGAATTGCTTGAGTTCAGGAGGCAGAGGTTGCGGTGAGCTGAGATAGTGCCATTGCACTCCAGTCTGGGCCACAGAGGGGAACTCTGTCCATTTCGGAAAAAAAAAAAAAAAAAGCTCAAACCAGTGCTGCTAATCAGGCTGTTAGATTTGCCTAGTAGCTTTAAGGTGCTAATGGGGTACTGTTTTTTCTATTTTTTTTTCTCAACATAGAGAGAGGCAACGTAGTTAGATGTGAGGGCACTGAGTCAGGCTGCCTGCTGTGTTTACCTTCTTGTTCTACCACTTAGAGTTCTGTGATCTTGAGTAAGTTAGCTTCTCCTTGGCTCAATTTTCCCATCTGTTAAATGGGAATAATAATAGTATGTGCCTACCTCATAAAGTTGTCAGGAGGATTAAATAAGATGATAAACACAAACTGCTTAGAAGAGAGGCTGGCACAGGCGGGGCACTGTGGCTCATGCCTGCAATCCCAGCACTTCGGGAGGCTGAAGCAGGCAATCACCTGAGGTCAGGAGTTTGAGACCAGCCTGGCCAGCATGGTGAAACCCATTCTCTACTAAAAATACAAAACTTAGCTGGATGTGGTGGCAGGTTCCTGTAATCCCAGCTACTTGGGAGGCTGAAGCACGAGAATCGCTTGAACCTGGGAGGTGGAGGTTGCAGTGAGCTGAGACTGCACCACTGTACTCCAGCCTAGGTGACAGAGCGAGACCCCATCTTGGAAAAATAAAAAAAGAAAGATATAACTCATTCCTGGAGGTTGAATAAACAATAGCATTTTCTAATTCCTTTATTTAATCCTAAAATAGAATAAAGGAAAGGCAGGCGCTATATGGAATGAAATCCTGGGGTTGGAAATGAAGATCCATAAAGCTGGCTATATATCCTGATGTATTTGTCCTCCAGCAAGTGAAGTGTTCATCACTGGATACTCCCCCGGGGTCCTTCTCACCCTCCTTCCACTCGCCACGATACTCCTCCCCACTGGAGTAGGTGAAGGAACCTTTTGTCAGGGTCATGGTGACAGCTTACAGGATAAAAGAATGAAAACTGTAGGAAATAAGCAAAGGAGAACCAGTGTCATGGAATGGCTGGAGGAAAGTTCGGCAAAGCAATGTTGCAGATACAGTCTAAAGTCTGGTACGTGTTGGCCCCCTTAGGTGTGTTTAACAAAATACCCACGTCTCCAACCACCACCAGCACCATCATCCCCACTTCTGCCCAAGTTCCTCCTGCTTATCTTAAAAGTTTTCAGCCAGTTTCTTTTCCTATGACCTGGGATGGAAATGGAGGATTAATCTACAGATATTTACTTGATACCTACTACATGCTCAGTTGATGTATAAAATACAGTATCTTCCCTTGATGAGTTTATAATCTAGGTAATAATACTAACAATTGAAACAGTGAATTATGCCAGAGATAATGTAATTAAGTGCCAACTTGAATGACAGTGATTAACAAAGACACGAGACGGGCAGAATTTAAAACACGCAGACAAGCAGTGGAGAAGGTAAAGAGCAGTTCCAGAATCAGACAACACAGGGAACGGGCCAGGTGCAGTGGCTCATGCCTGTAATCCCAACACTTTGGGAGGCTGAGGTGGGTGGATCACCTGAGGTCAGGAGTTTGAGACCAGCCTGGCCAACATGGTGAGACCCTGTCTCTACTAAAAATACAAAAATTAGCTGGGCATGGTGGCAGGAGCCTGTAATCCTAGCTACTTGGGAGGCTGAGGCAGAATTGCTTGAACCCAGGAAGCAGAGGTTGCAGTGTGCTGAGATAGCACTACTATACTCCAGCCTGGGCGACACAGCAACACTCTGTTTCAAAAAAAAAAAGACTGGGTGCTGTGGCTTATGCTGGTAATCCCAGTACTTTGGGAGGCCAAGGCAGGTGGATCACTTGAGGTCAGGAGTTCAAGACCAACCTGGCCAACATGGTGAGACCCCATCTCTACTAAAAATACAAAAAATTAGCCCGTCATGGTGGTGCACACTTGTAATTCCAGCTACTCAGGAGCCTGAGGCAAGAGAATTGCTTGAACCCGAGAGGCAGAGGTTGCAGTGAGCCGAGATAGCCCCACTGCAGTCCAGCCTAGGTAACAGAGCAAGATTCTGTCTCTAAAAAAGAAAAAAAAAAAAAAGACAAACATGGGAAATGAACACTCTAAGGCCAATGTAAATAGATGTTCTATGGCAAAATAAGAAGCCTGGTCTCACTACAGCTGAGGGTTTATTTGGGGAGTAATAGGTCTTCGTAGGCACACGCAACCACAATCTTAAATTTGAAGAGAGGCCTGGTGCAGTAACTCACACCTGTAATCCCAGCACTTTGGGAGGCTGAGGTGGGAGGATCACTTGAGTCCAGGAGTTCAAGACCAGCCTGGGCAGCATAGGAAGACCTCATGTCAAAAATGTAAAATTAAAACATAAAAATTAGGTGGGGCGCAAAATGGCTCACGCCTGTAATCCCAGCACTTTGGGAGGCTGAGGTGGGCGGATTATGAGGTCAGGAGTTTGAGACCAACCTGGCCAACATGGTGAAACCCTGTCTCTATGAAAAATGCAAAAATTAGCCAGGTGTGGTAGCAGGCACCTGTAATCCCAGCTACTTGGGAGCCTGAGGCAGGAGAATCACTTGAACCCGGGAGCCAGAGGTTGCAGTGAGCTGAGATCATGCTACTGCGCTCCAGCCTGGGTGACAGAGCAAGACTCCGTCTTGAAAAAAATAATAAAAAATAAATAAATAGGCCGGGCGCGGTGGCTCACGCCTATAATCCCAGCACTTTGGGAGGCCGAGGCAGGTGGATCACGAGGTCAAGAGATCGAGACCATCCTGGTCAACATGGTGAAACCCC